TTTTTGTTTAACGCGGGCCGGCCGGCCACTTGGAAAACATTTACTCGGGAACAGTGTCTTCACATTTTTGTGACAAACAAATATACATTAAGTTCAAAATTTGTTTTAAAAAATACTCGAATAATAAATTTCTTTAAATAAATACAGAACAACTTTATTAAAAACTAGTTTGCTGTGTGATTTTTTTATTTTTTACTCTATGTCGACTTTGGTGATGAGACGTTTCCCTATAATATAATTAATCAGTTTCAATTACTTCTTCAATAACCTCAATAACTCAAAAATCTTCTCAAGAGAAATAAAAATTGTAGTGAATCGAGAATATTTCTAGAATTACGAAAACCTAAGTGCAGATAAAAGAGTGCAATCATATACTGCAATTCCTCTTTCTGAAGTTATAGAAAATTATGCAAGTTGCAGAAATCGGTGGAGCGTTTTTAGCGAAATAAAAATTGCTGTCTTTTAGTACGTTAAGCTTTTGTTATTATCGTCTAATTATAATCTTTAAAAGATGTGTGCCCAAATATAAAGTTTTGTGTTGGTTTGTAAATAAATTTGTTCGGCTCTCATTCTAGAGATTTTCAGTCGCATTATGCAATAAATATTTTTCTCCACAACTCATAACTGAAAATCCGAGTTGCCTTTCTAATTAAAATTATGTTAAATTTTCTTATATGTATACATATATGTATATATATACACCTCCCAGTAATATTACCAATTTTTTCTATCGATTACTGTAGCTGTCGATTCACGGTCCTCTGCTCTTTGTATTATACGTAAGCGATCTTAAAAATATCCTCAAATGGATTGCAATGGATTAGGATTACTGCTAAATACAAGTAAGTAACAATACAAAAGAATTCTTTCATGAAATAGCCGCATAATAGGCAAAGCGTTAGAAATGATACGTTTGTCATGGTCCAGCCACACTTTACCACCAGTAAAAACCTGATTGCTCTTAGCTAAATCATTTCTCTTATATATAATTGGCACTTTGTAACCGCTAAAGCGGCCGGCTGATGGTTTTTTATTTCATGTTTGACGTTCTCTGCTGAGGGGCGACCGCAATTAGAAAATTTAGCTTAATTTTTTATTTCAATAAATTTTCTGTAACTTTTTGGTTGCTAGTACGACACCAGGATTTGAACCCGAACCTTCCGAATGGCAGTAAGCAACTATCCACTCGATTACCGCGGACCCCAAATTATTTCTCTTAGCAACCTTACGAGATGTGACATGTGGATGTGAACTCTATGTCGATTGTGATAGTCCATCTGGCAGTAAACTTAATGTTCTCTATAACAATATTGCCAGGTACGTGCAACGTGTAAAACATCGCAAGCCCACATCTGACTTTGCATTTAAAATATTATGCGAAAACTTCGTTGACGGTCAAGTTAATGTCATTATTTCTCTAGATCGAATCCAATTTCATTTAATTTCAATCCACCCGAATATGAAACATACCTAGTATGAAATATACTTGCCCTGTATTTGAACATCAGTTCTTTGCTTTCGCTGTGTGCCTTTGGAACGCTCTGCCTTATGAGATCAAAACCATTCAAAATATTTTTCCCTTAAAAAATAAACTCCTATACTATTTTGCCTGCTAACCTTTCACTTTATCCCCTTCTTACTAGCCTCAAAACCATCTGTTGTCCGTCCCAACCTTATATATTATACCGTTATTATTTTTAATTTTATAAGTTTTTTTTATAAATGTTACCGTTAATTCTTAGATGTAAGATCATACACTGTAAAATAAGAAATGGTTGCATGTTTCATTAAATGAGTAAAATACTAAGCCGACCAAACTTAAGAGTTTGTTGAGTTTGAAACAAAAGCGATTTCTTTCGGTAACTAATGTTCGGCTCCACTCGAATTATAAGATGCGCTGCAAACAATTATCCTTTATTCGCTAAAGGCTAATAATAGTTTCTTAAATAGTCAATAAAAAAGATTGTAGCGTATTTATCAAAAAAAGTTGCTCTTGATTTTCAATAGCACTTTTTCATTTTATTTATTTATTTTTATTTGTTTAATATCCCAATTACTCGTTTTTTTTTTTTTGGAAAGTCGGCCTATTTGACGAAATAAATGTATTGTTGTCTTTTCGGAAATGTCGTCACTCTAATGGTAGTTAATATTGTCAAAATACTCTTTCCGATGATAAGTGTATTTACCAAGTGTGTGTTAACAAATTTTTATTTTTGGAAATGTACAAAAGCAATCACAAAAGAAACATAACTTGATAAGAAGTTCAATTAAATGGACAAGTACGAGTTGAAGACAATAATTAATAAAGAAACACAATAGTGGAGCTCGAAGTAGATACGGAGAACTAAGAACATGTTAAAACAGCAACATTTATTTCATAATTACTTCTTTTTTCCAAAAATGATGTAAATACACTTACAAAGCCTATGCATGGAAGTTAAAACTAATTTGTCGAAATTTCTTCCTTAAGTAGAGTAGTAGAGAGTAGCTAAATATTGGAAAATAATTAGAAAACAAGCAATATGCGAAACAGTTTAGGTTGTCCTCTAAGAAAAGTGAATTAACGGCGGTGCGCCAAATGGCAATTTACAAAATATATTTTGTGCTTCACAGGCATTCCAGCATTTGGTTAGAGATGTACATTTTTTTTTAAATTTTATTGCATTTTTATGGAAAGTGAAGCTATATACACTACATATATAAAATAATACATGTAGCAAAAACGTTCCCGCCTTTATTTTGCGGAGTTTTTAATATTTATATAATATAATATAATATAGGGAACAGTGGTTTTTATTTTGATTACTAATTAAATCTATGCAATATAAAATATTAAAATAGCTGTCTCGTTAGTAAAATTCATACAAAAGTGACGTACATATGTATGTGTAATTACAACTGAGCTCATACTGATTTTCAAAATTTAGGCGAAAATTCGGCGTCCTTTAAATATAACGGCAACCCATTAAAAGAAAAAGAGGAGAAAAAATAATTCGAAGAAAATTGAAAATCAATTTAGTTTTTTTTTCTCATCAATCTACAGTGTAGACATACTATCGGAACGGACTGTAAGTTAGGTATTTTTTAAAATACTAATAAATCAAAGGAATGTGATTGTTAATTGCTTTGTGATTAGTTAATTAAAGAAATATAATATAATATGTACGCTTGTATATTTATATTTTCTAATAAAAATTCTTTTGGCGGCCGAGGTAGCCGAGTGGGTTGCATTGCATACTACCATTTCGAGGGCCAAAGTTCAACTCCTGGTACGATTATGAAAAATGAATTTAAATGAAAGACTAAGATAAATTTTCCCATTAGGGTCACCCCTCGGCAGGGAATGTTAACCCCTCGGAGTGTATTTCTGGCGTGAAAGGCTCCTCATAAAAAACCATCAGCCGTTCGGAGGCGGAGATGAAGCTTGAGCAAAACCACAAGCGAGGAGCTCGGCCGAAAATCACTTCAGGCGTTACAAAGTGCCAAATATATATACATATATATATATATATATATCTATGTACGTATATGTGTAATAAATGTGCTTAAAAAATATAAGCAATTACAATGTCTATCCCTCACGTTGTTTATTTGTACACTTGTATGTACATACATATGCGTATATATGCATACTATCCGATATCTATTGCACTTAATATTTTATTGATTTACAGTTCTGATTTTTCGTTTGAACCATTTCCGGCTAATTTCGGGGTTTGCGCCCATAACAATACATATGGAATATAATGGGTGTGGATAAATTTTTCTCTAACGATAAACTCATTCATTATGTACATATGTACATCAACTTGTTCACATGAGCATTTATAAGTGTAAAATACTTAAGTAAATAAATGATAAGATTTATATTGTTTTGATAATTATTCTGTAGCATTGGCTTTTTGCAAAATCTTATCGCTTTATAACTCAAAGCGGTAACAGTTAAAGATGATGACCGACCTGGCCTTAAAATTTTAGGCTAGTATCTTTAGATATATATATGGAGGTATGAATGTGTGTATCAAATTTCCAGAAAGTGTTTTCATAAACAAATTTTTGAGTCTAATTTATGTAAATGTTAACTTTTAAATGATGAAATTAAATAAGAGAACTTGTTTTTTTAAAGACAAGAGTATAAAAAATAAATGTAAATGTTTGCAGTTTTTGGTGCAGAAATTTTAATAAATTTTATTAATATGACTAAACTTAAAATTTTATAGCATTTTACTTGGCGGATAATAACGATAAATAAATATCAGCAAAAGTCAAATGAAATACATACATTTGTACTTACGAGTATGTATGAACATATGCATAAATGGAAGTCACTTAATTTCCTCGTAGTTGATAAAAATATCTCATTGTCCAAATAATAAATCTAAACTTTAAAGCCGAAATTTAGTCGTGCTCAATATAAAATTTAATTTTTGTATAGAATTAATTTAAAAATGGTAATTTTAATTTATATTTCAATTTATAATTTTATATGGATGCCTGTTCAACGAAATTAGATGAAATTAGTTTTATTTAAAAGTTCTTATTTTACTTTTTGACTTTTTTTTATCAAAATAATTTATTTATATTCCGCCTTATTATGAGTAAACAAGTTATATAACAGATAATAAATTAAAAAAAATTAATAAAACAAATTAACGAAATTAGAAATTTTATACAACTCAAAATATTTAGGATTAACCGGAAATTTGAAATAATTTTTTCAAAAAAAATCTTCATAAATAAACAAGTGTATATACGTGTATTTGTAATTCCTTTATTAAATTTGGTTTTTCAACATAAACATCTATACATCAAGCCAATCTCTTTTCCATCATTATGTATTTAAAAACAAATCAAATACTGCTCAAAATATCTCCACACCCGTTCACGTAAACCAAAATCATTTTTTAACTAATTCCGAACATCTACAACTGCTTGTACGAATTTACACACATAATTTTCTAAGTAGTTTTCTTAAAACTCCCTCCGCCTGTTTCACTCACCTTGGGCAATTCTGACGGCGGGCATTTTAATTCTCATCTTTCCTGAGTTGGCTATTAATAGGATTCGTTGAAGCCTGTCGCGGTGTTTATCCACATTAAGACACACTCCGACCACGGCTCCAATAAGTTCAGTTGAGTTGCGTCGGTACTTTGTGTTTTCAACCAGCCCACATTCGCACAAAGTGATATGTAAATTTGCTTACAAGGAATCAGTCTAAATTCATTTATTTATATTTATTTATGTACGTAATTTTCTTATTTTAATAATTTAATATTTCTTCAACTGCTAACGTTCTCATATATCAAGATGATTTCACACTTTTTGTCTTTACTCCGCGCTCTGCACATGCTGATTTTGGTGTGGACACTTTTCTCTTAAAATATTATTATTTTTTTTTATATGCCTTAGTATTTTCTGAGCTTAACACAGGAATACCGTTAATATTTTGATTTTTTGACTGCAATATACACTTGTACATATGCAAGTATGTGTGTATAGGCGCAATATTTGTATATTTTTAACTAACGTTAGGAACCTTGTACACTTTGCTTTAGAGAAACAATATTAACAAATGCCCCTTCTATCAGGGAAAGGGTTCTTCCACTGGAGCGGTCGACATTTGCGGAATGTTATTGCAACTTTGGTAAATGGATTTCTGTTGCTGTTTCTGTTTCTATTTTATTATTTTTCTCGTTATTTTTTTGTTTTGCACTATACATAAATATACATATATGTACAATATGTATATATATACTGTGGAAGTATTTGCACAGAGTGTTTGTTTGTTTGTTCTTATTGCATATTTTGTCACATTTCTACGCATTCACCAATTCCAATTCGACAATTCGATTCCAATTAGAAAACTCCATTGAATCACTTGTAAGTGAGCGAGCAAACGAGCGAGAGAGTTAAATAAAACAGTTACCGGTCACGGATTGTTAATGTTGAAGAGAAAACTATTATAAAATCGTGCGTCCTTCGCTTTTGCACTGCCTGCGTGCAAGTGCGAGTATGAGTGCGTCCGTGCACTCCGATGTCCTGCGAGTGACTGTGGCCACATACATTGGGATAATTCAATTTTATCTAACGGTTTTTACACTTTGATGCCAATTTGAAAATTTGATTTTGGTTTATTGGTTAGGTTGTTGGCGGTTGGCGGCGCGACGGCTGTGACGACGATGGTGGCGGCCGTGTCCGTAGCGATGGAGGTGGGATGGCGTTGGTGGTGGAGTAGCTAGCGCGACTGCATTAGCGACGGCAATGGATAAGCAGCTGGTCGACGAGGATGTGCGGCGCTCTGTTGGTTACATGCGGCGTGATAGGGGTGACATGTTATTTACCGCCACACTCTCGCAGAGACATGTCTATCCACTTTATCCACTTATGTACCTATGTATGTGTGTATTCATAAGCTTTTACATATTCATGTGTGTAATAGCTTGAACGTACATACATACATCCATACATACGAACACTCGTTATGTTTATTTGTACTCTTTGTGGGTGGACTTGCGCTCCGACGCCACTCAGTGCCACCACTCAACTCTTTCGTTGTCGCTCCTGTGTGGCGGATTCACACACGATTTTTAATCTGTTTGTCTATTTCCGCTGCTAAAATTGCCGCAAACTTTATACGTAGCTGGACAACGGTGTCGCTGATAACGGCAAAACATCCCTGATACAGGTATACAAATATGTATAGGTGTATTCATACACGTACGTACGTATGTATAGTCGCGGCGGCTTTTATTTTCAAATTGTTTATTTTCAGTTTTTTATAACATTTTACTTTATTTTTTCTGGTTTTTCTTGTTTCTTCGTAGGATTCACTCGACTTTGTTACATTAAAATAATTTTGCACCTATTATGATATGAAAACACAAACGTTTTGAAATTGGTATAATTCCTGCAACACTTCACTGGTAACAAAGTTTTTACATGACATATCTACATATACATATGTATGTATACATACATATGATTGCATATACGTGGGAGTGAGCGTTTGTTAGAAACCGCGAAACACACGTTAATGCAAATGAACACTGAGATATAAAACAATATCACTATTCATAAACTATTTTGCAAGAAAGCACGTCCTCACAACGCGACAGTCCGTGTGCATCTAACTAATAAACTCACATTAGTCGCATCCGTCCATTTACCATTTTCCATTTACCATTCATGCGGCTACTGGCTCTGTCATTCTGTCGCGCTTGGCTTTCTTTGTTAGTTTTAGCTTTGCTCACTTCTCCTTCATCGACGACTAGCCAACCGGCCGACCTTTCAGCTCGGTTGAAATCGACTTGACTCGAAAGTCGCCACTCGCCACTCACGAGTTACAAACAAATTTACGTATTTACATTCATACAAACATACGTATACAGAATACAAGAGTATCTACGTAGGGCTGGCTGGCTGGCTGGCTGGCTGACTGGCCTTACTTGCTTGCTCACTCGCGCTCGCTCGCCACAGTCACTGCGATAAGGTAGCGCGGCGGCGGCGTCAGCAGTTGAGTTGTGTTGGTGGCGACGGCTACGGCGACGACGACGGCGACGGTTACGGTGACAACGACGACCACGATTTCAACTACTACTACAGCAACGGAGAAGGCAAAAGCACCTTGGACAGCAGCAAAGGCAGCGACAGACGACAGGGGCTTCTCATGAGCACACTTGCGCTTGGAGTAGATGTGCAGGAGTGTAGTAGAAAGATAAAGAGCGGACTGGTGCGTTATGGTTGGTGTTGTTAGGCAGTTAGGTCTATGCGGCGGAGCGTTGTTTCTTTTGACTGAAGACTGGAGTGAGTAAATGGGCTACTATAAGTGAGTATGCGTCTGTGGGTACGTCAGCTAGTGTCCGGAGAACGGATGGCGGAGAACGATTGTGTCGTCTGCTTAGTCGCATATGAGCATGACACCGTACAAATCTACATACTAGCACGTCCATAAACGTAAGTATGTACTTATATGTATATGACTATGTATATACATATGTATACAAGTTAGTATTAAGTGTACAAATGTACACATGAGGCTGTCCATATAGTAAGACAGTGTTGGTGTTGTTCTAAAGGTGGCGGCGATGCTGCCATTGATGCCACTGTAGATGCGTACAAAGTCATATAAACGTGTATACAAACATACATACATATATATGTGTGAACATTTATGTGAATGAATACTATATGCTTGCATGTACAAGTGAATGTACATATGTATGTTTGCTTGTTTGCACTATGTACAAGATCGTTCAATATTTTGTTTTTAACGCTGTTTGTTTACTTTTTGCTTTGACAATACTGCTGTTATGGCTGCCGCACCTTGCGTCGCTTGTGTGACCTCAACTTTGGCAATAACAGTAACATCGTCGGCATCTTATGTACACATATGGATGTATGATTGAAAATATTAGAACAAATGCATACTTACGTACGTACATATGTAAATATGTATATATACATATATATATGTACATTCATATGTGTTTAAATATACATATGTATGTATTGGAGTTATGTACAAAAACACAAAAAAATTTGCATTTTTGAAGTTAATTGAATGTGATGATAAATATTTCGATAGTATTAAAAAAGGTACCTACATATAAACGCAAACATACAATCATACAGATATGCCGTTGTATTATATTTACCAACTTTTATATACTACATAAATATATTCATATGTATGTCCATATTATTGGGACATACATACATACATACATATGTACATAGGTACTAGAATTATGTGCAGCAATCGTTTTTTCTCCCAGTTTTTCAAATTACTCCTTTACAACCATATAAACATTCTATTGTGAGCACTCCGTCGACCACAAAGTTGCACAGTGGTCATGTTTGAGCGCTACGCTCTCGGAAAGGGTCGAAAGCTTGTTAATGAAACTTTTAGTTTTCAAACCGTCTCCATTGGATATTTTTCTAAACATTTCAAATCTATTGAGTATCCGCATAATTATTATATGCTTCATGAAGAATTCGCTGGAGTTCGCGTTTGATTTTTTTTTATAAATAAATTACAGAAATCATTTTTAACAAATCCGCAAAAAAATGAAAATCACTATTTTATTATAATCATACAACTTTTGAACGCATATTTTGTTTTAAAAATGTTTGGATGTACTTTTGTGGCTTTGGCTTTTTTGGCTTACTATTTTAAGCAGAACTTATTGTACACAAATTAATTTTATTCATTAAATGTTAGTTTTTGGGGTAAAAAATGTAATGCGTTGACACGAAAGGCAGTTGATTTTTGTATTAATTGTCCCAAATATTGATATTTATGCATCTCTTTCTGATCCACCTTTTTCATATCTGGTGAAAAGGTCCCAATGGGATCTAGAGATCTAATCATTCTGCATAGACTAAGCCTTTCAAGGGTACACAGGTAAACTGAATTTCTCATTTACTTTTTTGTAAACAAAATTAGTGTTGGTTCGATTCGAGCCGTTAACAAGTTCTTCTTGCATTATGTCATAAGCTTTGTTCACTCCAAATGGCAATAAGGTTACCCACTTAGTAATTCGTGGAATATTTACATTTTTACTAAAATTGCTAATGATTACAAAATCTTACATGGTTTTAAAGAACTATTCCACACTATGCCGTGTGCCTTGAGGTAGGGATGCATGGCTAGAATTGAATTAACTGCAGAATAAACCAGCTGAGCAAACACTTTCTAATCTATTCGATAAATTATAGAGCTATGCTCAGCAGTAGTTGTGCGTGACATACTCTTACAGAGTCCCCCACAAATCCGCTTCAGTTTCAGGCGATGTTCAAAGAGATCAAAAGTAAATAATTTAACTACACATTCATTTATATTGATGGATCCAAAACTAGTTACAGCACTTCTCATGCAAACGAATCAAGCTAAAGTTATCAGTACTGGAAACTTAAACCTTTTAGATGTTATAATATACGAATACGTAATTAGCGCTCTATAATTGCTGAAGCGATTTTCCGCCGAGCTTCTCCTCCAATTTATGAGTTTGCGTCTTGATATGTTTCCAACAAATGGAGGGACCTACAAAGCCGCTGAACGGCGGATGGTTTTTTTATGAGGAGCTTTATTTCATGTCATGTTGGATGTTAGTCCGACACCAGGATTTGAACCCGGGTCTTCCGAATGTAGTACCTAATGCTAACCACTCGGCTACCGTATCAAATAATAATTTCCATGGAAACAAAGCCTCGAATGCAACCTTACCAATAATTGGTACAAAAGCATGAATTACACAAAGATTTCTTACAAAAATCTAAACAATTTGAGTGTCTTAGATTAGGACACACAAAATTAACACATGGCCATCTTATGAACAACTCAACCTCAACAGCGCAAATGTCATGTCTACAGTTAACCACTTTCTTCTGAGCTGCCCACTATATGCCACCCACAGAGAACGAATTTTTACTTATACAAACCTAATTCCTTACCTCTCAGTTCCTTCAGTAATCAATCCTCTTAATAACCAATTTTCTTAAAAGAACAACTATTTTTTATAGTATGTATTTTAAATATATAATTATATATATATATATTATATATATATTTTAAATAAATAAATAAATAAATAAATAAAAACAACAAGTGTTTTGGAACTTTAGCTAAATAGTTTTTTTCGAAAGTTTTTATTGGCCAATTAAAATTTCATCAAAAATCAAAGGGCTCAAGGAGTGTTGCTATTACA